TCTGCTTTTCAGCAGAATTTTTGCCATCATTGGGAAGAGAACTAGATATCTTCTGACAGATTTTAATATATCTACCATCCAGATTTTTGTTTTATAATATGCTTTGCAATGAGTTGACTCAAAGACTATCACTGATCTTAGTAGTTAATTTGATTAAGGTAAGAATTATACAGCTTATTAGAAACTAAACAGACAATTCCTATTATACCATGTAACAAGTGTTTTTAGTGAAATTTGAGATTGTTTAGTTTTCTCCTTCATCTGAGTCTGTCAGATCATTTTAAAGTACTGCTGTTTGACTTTAGTCAGTTCAGAATGAGGAATTTTGGCCTATTCCTGGAGTGTAGCTATAAGGAAGACTCTAATAGGACTTAGGTTGCCATTGGCTGATTCTGAAGCCCATTCCTCCTGCCTTTGCCCCAGTGACACTGTTTATCCAGAACAGATTCCTTTTTGTGTGGGCTACCACTTCTCAGCTGGCAGATCTCAGCCCTTTCTTCTGCTATTGTCCCACAGGTTTAAGAAATGGTTTATATTTTGTATTTGAATTTTTCTTGAAAACATGAAGAGTTGAGTGGAATGTACTGCATAACTTGTGGGGTTTACTCACTTTCTCATATTCTGGTAACGATGAGGATTCCTTACTTATGTCTCATGCTATTATTCTTTGTGTTCTCTCAGCCGTAGTATCCTGGCAAGTAATATCTTTGACCCTTTATCCTCAGATAAGCAATGCCTTGCCCTGCCCTGCTCTGTCCAGTCCTGAACTTGATCCTGTCCCATTGCTACTTTTCACCATCACCTGTTTGTTATGGCTAACCCCTAACGCCTAGACCAAGATCTGCAGCCTGTGAAATTGGTATCATTAAATAGTAATGGAGTCCTTTCACCACTCCCTACTGAATGTACTTTTTACCAGTATTTCTCCGTCCTCTACTTTTGTTTTCTCTTTCCTTTTTTTTTTTAATCCTTAGGCCTAGCAGGGGTACTCAAATATGTTGCTTGGTCTAGCTGTTACTGTTCAGGTCTAAAATGATTACTATAACTTATTCCAGATCAGTGGTTCCCAGACACTAGTCTGGCTGCCTCAGAATCACTTGAGGAGCTTGATTAAAAATACATATTCTT